CGAGATCTATGTAGCACCGATACGGTTACGCGGAATCGCGAAAACGCGGACACAGGTACGGGGATACGGCAAAACAAAAAAAAAGTAGGATACGGATACGGGGTCATATTTATAAATATTAAAAGTTATGGGGGTGTATTTACAAATATTAAAAGTTACAGGGGTGTATTTATAAATATTAAAAATAGATTTTTTTTTGGAAATATATACATATAATATCCTATGAAATATACATAAAAAAATTTGGATATATATATATATATATATATATATATATATATCCTATATATGCGTATATATACGTATTTTTTTGGAGTACATTATAATATTTCTCATATACACTAGTGCATCTCGAAATATAAATGTAGACATGTAGTCCATAAGTCAATAATTTAAAATGAGAAATAAGTCAAACAACTACAATCTTGAAATTAAAAGTGCAAGTACCAAAGTTCTGGAATAATTAAGATAGAAAACAATATTTTAAAAGCTCTAACTTCTAATACATATTTTCACTCGAAGTATTAATTTTCAGGAATAGTATATATCATCTTCCAAAAAAACGGCCTCCAATTCTGGTTCATCTATGGAGAGGTTGGCAAACTCAAGTACTCCTATAATCTATATCCTCCATGCTTCCAAAATCATCTCCACCAACATCCCACATTTTTCTATTGTCATTCCTATACTGCTTAGAAGCTCGTGATAAAAGACGAAGATTGTTATGAACAAATACCAAATCCTCCGCTCGCTTTGGAAGCAGTTTGTTTCTTCTAAATGAATTAATAAAAGAATAAGAACTCCAATTCCTTTCTGAGCATGATGATGAAGTAGGTTGTCCTAGTATTTTGAAAGTTAATTTTTGAAGAAAAGGTGCATTAGAACCAAAGCATGCCCACCACTTCTTAGGTTCCATGTAATATCTACTTGCAATAGATTCAGGATCCTCAAATTTTGGGTTTTTTTATTCAAAAAAGTTGATACGGGTATCCGTCAGGATACGAGTATCGGAAACTTTCAAAAAATTACAAAAAAAATGGAAACTTTTAAAAATTACAGATACGACCCGGGAACGTACGGTACGGGTATCCTAGAGTATCGGATACGGGAACAAATCTGATACCCCGATACGCTACCCTAGGGAAGTATCCGTGCTTCATAGCTCGAGATGATAATATGACTTTGTATTGTACAATGATATATTAAATAAATATTTTACAAATAAACGTGTGACTCACTTCACTAATTGTATTTGAGACTACTTCATTCACAAACACTTATGAGAAGCCTTCTTGGATTGTCTCCTCTCACCTTCAAGGATGTTCTTCGCTCACGCTGATTATGAGACACTTTGGGTTTTCTTACAAAAGGTTCTCACTCTCTCTCTAGGTGGCACTCACTCTCGGTTCTCATACTCTTAAGAGCTCTCCTCAAGATTCTTTAGAATTTCCTATACACTACTACATTTCTAGAGTTTTTCAAGAAGTATATGCAAGATTCCTTATATATTTTGGAAGGATCTAAAGTACTCCATATTTCTTCAGAATGTTCTAGACTCTTCCACAAGCTTTCACGGTTGTAGAGAGTTCCACACTTCTCAAGAAAACTCCGCAATGCACTATAATATTCTACACTTTTCTACACGCTATTAGATAATTCAACGTCTCTCTAGAAAGTTTCAAATATTAAAGGATATTGGGAAAAGGGGCAAATAAGTCATCGAACTAACTGAAAAAGTACAAATCACCCCTTTTATAGGAGGCTCTGTCTGGCCGTTGCCATTTGGGACGGTTACCGGTGGAATTTTTTGATGAATTTTTTTGAGCATCTTCTTCATTAAGTCGAGTTTACTCATACAAAATTTCAGCGAAAAAATTCAATCTTGAAGACAGTCAAATAAATGTTTGAAGATAACTGCGCGGTTAAACAGCGCAGTATATTTCAGAAAACCATTTGACTGCCTTCCCGATTGAATTTTTACTTGAAGTTTGGTATGGGTAAACTAGACTTAATGAAGAAGATGACAAAAAAATTCATCAAGAAATTCAACCGATAACCGCCCCAAATGGCAACGACCAGACAGAGTCTCCTATAAAAGAGGTGATTTGCACCTTTTCATTTAGTTCGAGGACTTATTTGCACATTTTCCCAGATATTTAATACTTCTCTACACACATCTAAAAATTGTAGACATCTCCATAATATTCTAGAAATCCCATAAACTTCTTAATTAAGAAAGGTAACTCATAATAGAGTTATATAGAGTTAATTTTCATTAAATTTCTTTATCATTTCAAATTAGTATCAGAGCATCTCCAACAGTTAGCTAATTGCCCTTATGACTAAACATCTAGAACATCTCCATTGATTAACTATATATGTGTTTAACTAGTCACATAAACATTTGCAGCAAAATTAAAATGTACCTCAATGGTTAGCTATAACTTATTTATATTCATTTATTATTAATAATGTTGTATTTAATATTTCTCTTTGCTCAAGCTATTAGATCATTTTGACTAATTAGCTTTTTAAAGGAAAACGAAAGACAATACTTCAATGGTAAGCCATCAGTTTGAAAATTGCAAAATCCTCCAAATGAACCATTGAAGATGCTCAATCTATTTACAAAGAATTTGTCAATCTCTTTTTCCATCCATTTCTCATGCCGCTTTCAAATGAAACAGATTATGACTCACCGATTTTGATTGTTAGGATGACATTTACATGTCAACATTAATTAGGTGGTGAAAATTATATATATATATATATATATATATATATATATATATATATATATATATATATATATATATAGACACACACACACACACATATATAATTATATATATAGTAATCTTTCGGTATATATATATAGTAATCTTCCGGTAAGGTCTTCCTGACCGAAACCGTCGTCCGGCCGATGGCTTTTGAGACCCTTTCCAGTGGAATTTTTTTATGAAATTTTTATAGCATGTTCTTCATCAAGTCTAGTTCATCTATACCAAATTTGAGCCAAAAATTTAATCGGGAAGATTATCAAATGATTTTTACAAGATAACGGCGCCGGAATATACATATAAAACGCAGTTATCTTTCAAAATCATTTGACGACCTTGCCGGTTGAATTGTTTTCTCAAATATGGTATGGATAAACTAGACTTGATGAATAACATGCCATAAAAATTTCATAAAAAAACTCCACCGGGAAACGCCCCAAAATCCGTAGGCCGGACGGCTGTTCCAGATAGGAAGGCCTGACATGAATATTTCTATATATATATATATATATATATATATATATATATATATATATATATATATATATATATATAATGGAAGATAACTGCGTCAAAATATACATATAAAAACATAGTTATCTTTCAAAAATTATTTGACTGTCTTCTCGATTGAATTTTTAGCTGAATTTTTTGTGTTGATAAACTAGACTTGATGGAGAACATCACAAACGCTGCAGACTGAACGCCGGTTCCTATCCGGAATTCCATACATGAACTTTTCTCTCTATATATATACTCCGTATTACTTAATTATATTGTGCGCGACACATAAGAATATACTCCGTATTAGTTTATAATGCTTTATCCATTTTTTATTAATTGGATGTTCGTATAGAAAGTGTGAGAGAAGAACATATTACTATTTTTTAGGTCCACTAACATTTTGTTCATTGTTGAGGACTTGAGGCTTTGGTTTTAGGTCCATTATTGGCTGAAACAATCTGACTGGGACTATATTGATGTAGAATCTGGCAAGCTTCAGTTTATCTCAAGCATTAATTCTGGTTCTAATGGCTCGCTCTCGGGGGTGATCATTGATGATATAAGAGATATTTCGTCTAATTTCACTAGTATTTATTTTACTCATGTGAAGCGGTCTGCGAATCGGATAACTCATGAGTCATGATCTTGCAAATATAATAGGCCAAATATAAAAATGCATATACACAGATGACTCATACACGATAATACCCCTTGAAGTTAAGATGGATAAATCTGACTACGAGGAACTAATTGATCAAAGCAGCAGAATTTTAATAGTTTGATAAATATATCAGAAATTTAATCAGGTGGAAGCAATATAATAAGTCGCATGAAATAAGCAGATAAGCTGCAGCTGGTAAAGAACATTTATTTGTTGGAATCTGCCCAAGGATCAACACACATATAGGCAATGGAAGAATAACATACAGAGATATTTTGTGGCACCATACTCTTGTGCCTTTTTTCTTTTATTCACCTCAAAACATAATAGTTTTGCATACACACTCTTGTGCCTTTTCTCTTATGTACATTAAAATAAAACAACATGAGCTTAAATAGCCTTTTGCATACACACGTATGTATGCACTTTGCATACACACACGTCCTAACATGTATGTTATGTAACTAACTAATATCTCCATTTATTCCACTAAGCTAGTTAATCACCCATGCATGCAACTAACTATTAATTAACCCATGCAAATTAGACTAACACTAATTCAACGGCACAAACGCACTTCAGTGCCGTTACAACACATGCACGGTGTCACACGACGCACACTACTTGGCATGACTCATCCCGCCGTGCACTCACACTCTAGTCTAATATGCATTTATGACTCAAAATAAATTAAATTAAACAACTAGATTTAACACTAATAACCAACATTATTGTGATGACATACTCCCAACTTTACAAACAAATTTGATGAAGGGATTACATCCAACAGTTAAACAAATATATTTGAAGTCATCCATAAAGACCAGGTACACTATTACTTGGAACTTGGAAGCTAGCGAGCGGAATACAATTTTAGTGTGCTAAAATTTGGGAACATAGATTTAAAGATTGGGCTATCTCAATTCTCAGAAAGAATCAAAGAAACTAAGCAAGATTAACTACATGATTATCAGGTTCCTGGAATCAGCATTGTGAGGTCTAATGCATGTCTAAGGAATCTAGGGCTCTAATGCGAAAATATGACACCATGATCTCGGCATGAAAGCACTTCTATTTCGGAAAATTTTCCGATCTTTATTAATATCCTCACTCTTGTCTTAAATTAAGCACTATGTAGTTTTAACTGAATTTGATACGGAGCACTTTAGTAAGAATTGAACAAGAGCACCATTTGAAATTACATATACTTACTCAAATGAGACTTCTATTCTTATATGGCAAAAAGTTACACAAACCATGTCTTCTCAAAAGCAATGTTACTAACGATCAGTGGTGTATTATGGTGGATTGCCAAAATCGCCACCATAAAACCACTGCTCTTCACAAACTTCAGATAGAAGTCTGCCATATTTCCACCAAAGCCGCCATTTGACAACACTGCTCAGAAGTTGAGAGAATGACCCTGGTTGAAAGAGAAATTAATTCAGCTCCCAAGAATATTTCCAAATGAACACTAATTAACATTAACTGAGAAAGATATGTTGTGTAGGATAAATAAGATCTCATACTGAGTCTTTTTTGCAACTGTTGGTGTGTTTGTATATATTACTCACCTACCCTTGGCTCTTGGAACAGAACCCATTGATTACATGAAAATAGAATAACTAAGACATTGTCTTTACATAGCGAAAACCATTTCTAACCAAGAAAACGGTACAATATAAAAAACCAAAGCGACAATCAAATGGAAAGGAGGAGGCATATACAATGAAAAGGGATCAATGACATGCCAAGAGCATATGTATACCCTTGATTATGATGCTACTTATTCAATGCGAAATGAAGCCAGTGATGGCCTTGATAATTATGTACATACATGATAATGTATTTAACTTCCCCTGCTGCTAACATTTCACAGACTTTTGGCAGTTATATTTGTGATGCGGAAGGTATGGAACCCTGACCAACCTTCATTAGCAACTTCCTTTGGTTCTCATTAGTATGGGGGAGGCTGGCACGCAAAAGCTCAACAGGCATTTCGCTATTTATGGCCCTTCTCACTTCTTCGCTTGTTTCTGTGTTTACAGCTGCATGCATTATATTGTCAAACTTACTCACACAGTATCTCGTCAAAAGAACGAAAAAGGCGTCAAATGAAGCATTCCATAGGGCATGGTTTGGCATGCCAAAGGTCGTTAACAGGTAAGAAGCCCTATCCAGGACAGATTTTAAGATGAGGGAGGCTCCATCACCAGCAGGGCTTCCAAGGGGGCGGAGAGGTGGTTGCTCTGATGAACACACTACGGCAGCTAGACAAGCACCCAGTGAATTAAGGCCCATCCCACTGACACATGTTGATACCGTCTTTGCAAGATTGGTCGCCTCCTTGGCCCCACTACCGAACAAAAACCTTAGGTGACGAGAAACCGCCATGCAAACTATCCTGGCGAGATCTCCACCTGGAATAAGAAGCTGAAGGTATCTAGATATGAGTTTCTTGCCTTTGGGGATGGAGACTACCCACAAGAACACAATATCATCCCTAGGATTTGGCTCGCTCTGGCGGTTTGCGGTTTTCCCAAGAGGGTCTGCAAGTTGAAGTGAAGCCGCCATACCTTCTAAAAGCATCTGCCGTTTTTGCCTCAGCTGAGCTCCGCCGTCTTGTGGCTGGCTAAACTGAAGAAGCCGGTCAATGTCATCTATTTCAAGAAGAAGATAGAAACTGTCCTCTATTGTGATTCTAGCTGCAAATTTTGGATCACGCTCCAAAGGGGTGTCTTTCGATTGACGAGAAGATGAGTCCGGTGGGTCTGCTTCCAGAAGAGAGGCTGGCCTACGAATAGATGAGAAAGAAACCCTTCCTTGAGCATCAACACGCAGATGGGGTAGTGACTCTGTGCTGTTACGAGACCGGGAAGGTGTTTCTTTGCTTGGATTTGGACAGAGACGGTATTTTGACTTCTTAGCAAGTCGGGCTTGGTGGTAATAATCATCGACATACGGATCGTTGCAATGGGTCCCGGATTGCTGCAATTTGAGAATGTTTTCGATTTCTTCGCCCGTCATGTACTTGGATCTGAACTGCAAGACCTTACTTGATTCATTTTTTGGGCTACCACTTGATTCAGGTCCTTGTTGAGCAAATCTCACACTTTTACCTTTGTGTGATTTCGGTCTTGAATCAGGTAAGACATATTTACCCAGGTGAGATGGGGCAGAAAGAGAATTATACAGGTGATGAGATCTCACAGCAGGAAGATGGGGGAAAGTGGCTGGAGAAGAAAATTGCAGTCTCTGGTGCTCAGGGGACATCAACTGAGGGGAAAGTATAACATTGGGATGCAGAAACTGATGTGGCGGCAACCCGGTGTTTGAATGGGTGACCCAGTTGTTCTGTAGATGGTTATTTATGGAGAAATGGGGAGAGATTAGTTGGGGCCTATTTCCATACTGAGGCCCATGAGAAAAGGCAGACAAATGCAAATTAGGGTTTGACAGAGAAGACACATTTGAATCAGAGAAGGGTGACTGGTGTAGGTTGTTTGGTGAAGTCTGTTGAGAACTATCACCAGGAGGAGGAAATGATGAGAAAGGAGATCTTAGTAGTGAAATAGGTTCAGGATATGAAGATGTCCTATGAAGTGGTTTTGACTCTGAAAGATGATGCAGAGAAGAGAGATGTGGCTGAGAAGACCATCTTTTGCTTTCCCTGTAACATTCTGTGTCAGATAAATGATGATCAAGCAAGTCAGGAAGATCTGCATCTTTTGCCCACTCAGCTGTAGTTGTGGAAGAGCCTGCACACAAAGTTCGATTATCATATAGAGCCTCACAGTGAGAATTCCATCCCAGTAGAGAAGGAAAAGTAAACCTTACAGAGTTCATTATGTTCAAAACTTTCTACTACATCCGTCCCGAATAGAGTCTTGTTTCATTAAGGTTCACCTTTTAAATTTTCTTGTAAACTAATGTATCTATCCTACATATATTTTTACATTCTTTGTTTTAATACTAAGATATATAAATTGTTTGGAAAACGTTTTGGGAAAAGTTACATTGAACTCAATGAATATAAGACTGTCAAGTCTAGTCTTGGAACAAAATTAAGTTTTGAAACAAGATTTTTTTGAGACAGAGGGAGTATATTTTTTCTTTCATGTTGTCTTTGGCCAAAGTAAAAGAAAATAATAAGAATGAGTTTGGAATACCATGTTTGTAAGCTTATCTTTGGTAATATGAAATTAGGAATAGGATTATTGGCTTGCTGCCGATAAGAGAGTAAGATTACGGGGAATGCCTCATTTACTTAAAATCCAAACACAACACCATTACTGAATTAAATTGAAGACCTGATGAATACATGCTACATTATCTCAAGATTCTCAATAACATTCCCTGGGTCATGATATATGTCCCATTTCTTTTTTTCTATTTATATATACATATATATATATATATATTCTATTTTTATATGGAGAGGAGCAGTTCATATCAGGCGCGTCTGATAGGAACCGCCGTGCGGCCACCTCGATTTGAGGTGCTTCCGGTTGGAATTTTTTATGAAATTTTTTAAGCATGTTGTTCATGAAGTGCAAGTTATGTCCACAAAATTTCAGCTTAAAATTCAATCGGAAAGTCAGTTAAATAAATTATTATTGAAAAACAATGTGCCTTTTAAACTGAAGTCATCAGTTATATAAATGGCATAGTATTTTTCAATAATAATTTATTCAGCTGACTTCCCGATAATTTTAAGTTGAAAATTTGTGACTACACTTCATAACGAACATGCTCCCAAAATTTCATCAAAAACTCCAACCAGAAGCAACTCAAATAGAGGCGGCCACACAGCGGTTCCCTAACAGGAATGGAACTAATATATATATATATATATATATATATATATATATATATATATATATATATATATATATATATATATATATATATATATATATATATATATATATATATATATATACACACACACACACACACATAGTCCGTATATATTTTTGAAACGGGAATATATGATGCATTATAAGGTTTGTACTCACTTTCCCTTGAAAAAGATCCTGACCCACGGTCACCAATAACTCCAGGATGTCTTGGACCTGCAACAACTCTGTTCAACTGGAAGGAGAATTTATGTGAAATTGCAATAAAAAATTACAAAGCCTACTGCCTTCCATAAAATACTAAGACAATAGCAATGACTGACAAAGAATGACAATTAAAAAACTGACTAGTCACAAGGTGTAGAATACAATACTCCGTATATAATAAGAGATGGATGGAATTCAATATAATACATAATATACCTTCTTGATAACCAGTTTACTAAGCTACATTTTTGCATGAGATGATGGTGTGATGACAAATGTACATAATGATCCAAATATTAATATAAATGGTCTTAGATATAATTACAGATAATAATAAATGGTAAAGATAATCCAGAGAAGGTTAGGGCTAGGGACAAAGAACCACATATCCACATAAGAACCTTTAAGAATGGTGCAATCCCCAGAAGCATCAAGCTTATAGGAACTTTTACACTTGAATATCATTAACAATGCACATTTTGTCATATTTTGGTACACTGGACACAAATCTAGAAAAGTAATACTAGTGTCACAGCCATAATTGCTACATATATTAACTTATAGTGCCTTCAAAACGTAATTACAATGGTTTCAAAGTCTAAAAACACGAATATTGTTATGAAAAAACTCTAGTACAGCCATGAAGAAATAGAAGAGTTTAATTGCTGCAGGATCAGAAAATCCGTCTAGCTGACCTTCAAAAAGGTTGTAGCTAGATCATCTAGATCAGACGAAGATCCTAATCCAGACCCCTGTAGATGAAGAATTGAAGTGAACAAATAGGTTAGTAAACTTTCACGCCATAACTAAGTAGCAAATGCGGCAAAAATACATAAAAAATTTTGTCTTTTTTTACATCTGAAGAGTGCTGCAGAAAAACATAGAACAGCTAAGGCATAACATTTGGGGAATTGCTTATGGAAAAGCATAGTCATACCTCATCTTTCTCAAATAAATGATACTCATGTATCTCACTGTCCCCACCTGCAACTCCTCCCACAACAGGAACGCTACTACTACTGCTACTACCTTCTTCATCCTCCAAACCGCCCAATTCAACTTCATCTCCTTGCCCGAAGAAGGCATAGTGAGAAGCATCGAAAAGTCTACTTTCTGCACCAAAACCTACAAAACAAGGTGGTTTTAGCTTCTTCACAAATTTACGAATTCCTGCATTATTCACAGACACAATCCAAAAAAAAACCCAATTTATAAGACAGTAACCGTAGGAAGAAAGGTAATCGAGGATTTAACTGCAATGACTTCGTCTGGATTCTTTTTAAAACGAAGAACAATCAGAATTGGAAAAATAATGCAAAGGTGAGAGAGCTAACCAGAGACGCAGCTGAATGAGTCGGTGAAGTCCTTGAATTCCCGGAAAGATGATCTCTCCATAGTTACAAGCCAGCTGTAGAACCGGCACCCTTAGCAACTCCTACACATTCACACGCAATTATATATGCAGATCAATAAGTCAACACTTCACCTAATCTGAGAAGCCATCATATTCGTCAAAGACTGGGAATTCTAGGGTTTGGCGAGGAGAGAAAAGCAGGTAAGAGTAGCGTATGAAGAATTGATTTACAAAGAGCTGGGTTGAGGAGAGGAGGCTCTCATGGGGTCAGCGAGAGAGAAATTAGATAGAGAAGGATAGACCGGAGGGGAAAACGTTTTTTTTTACAGTACACTTTGCTTTTAGTACCTACTAGTGTTGCGTATTTGTCTTGCTCACCATTTTCAAGGAAAAACTCACGCCTTTCTCATTATTTTGTCCCTTAATTATAAGAGTATTTGAAATAATGCTCTTAATATATGTAATCAAAATAGGAAAAAATTGATGTTCAGAGTATAAAATTATACTCATAGTCACTTAAGGCATACGTTTGTTCAAAAATTATTTAAATACTACGTAATATTTTAGGAAAAAAATTTATTTGTTTATTCAGTATTGCACATGATCAAAAAAAAAGTTTCACTATTGCACTCTCATAATGCTAAAGTCTGAGAACTACTCTCTAAAATTCATAAACATGTAAATCTAAATTTGATCATACTCAAATTTCATTGGTTCGACTTCAAATAATGGATCTAGAAGATCACCACGAGACGACTCTCTTAATGGTTCAAGATTTTGTAACTTATAACGTTTTAACAGACGTTACATTTGAAGAACTCGAGGTCACATATTTAACAATTTAAAATTTAGGCGAGGTCTTGTCTTAAACACGTGTCTTACTCCACCTGTCATAATATTAAAGTTCTTTGTGCAATTCACAATATTTAACTAACAATAGAATTAATTCTTTTCTGAATATAAATACTATTGTTAGTATATATAAACAGATAAATATAAATTTGATCACAGTCAAATTTCGATGGTGATGGATAGAGTACCCGGGGTAGCTTATCCAAGGGTTATTGCGGAGAATAACTAGAGAGAAGTCAGAGCAAACAAGTAAGAGAGAGAGTCAAATGTATTAAATGAACTCACCGTGTTTTACAAGGTGAATAAGGGTTGCTGTTTATAGCAGCCATAAATGCGATGAGAGCACACGTGTCAACAATCTAACGGTCGAGGGATCATCTCAATCGGGGTGGCACCGGCATACGCAGGTGCACCGCATTAAATGCAGTTGGTGGATGTGACGTCACATTAAATGCGGTGGTTGTCTGTCCCCTAAGGGAATCCTCGACGATTACGTTGTTGCCGAAGGCTCTGTGTACCCGAAGGATACCCTTATGTCGAGGGCACTTAGGGGCCGAAGGCTCCTAATTTCTGCCATTTTCTCCCAGCAGCTTTGTATGCTCAAAACCAGCTGTCTCCTGTAGTTTGGGGCCTTCGGGTATGGTGCCGAGGCATCCCTAAGCGCAATGTGGGTTCTTTGGACCTTGGGCAGCGGTGTTTTGGGCCTCATGCGCTTCTTGGGCCTGTTGGGCTTGTGCTGGAGTAGTGGGAGTCTGTGGGTCGGGGGTCCCTGGGCCATATACTCCATCAGGAGTCCCCCACTCCTTTTGTCGAAAGGTACTTGAGGGAAAAGGAGTAGTTTTGGTGATTGCCCCGAAGGCTCCCCTATTTTGTTGGGGTGCCTCAGATTCTTTGCTTTCTGATGTTTACTGAGGGAATTCCCTCAGTCTGCCCACATGTCGAGGGCTGAGGGCTCCCTGAAGGGAGTGCAAGTGTGTTGCTCGCATGGGTTGTGGCAGAGGTTGTTTTATCATCCTTGGTAATTTGTGTTTCCCGAAGGGTGTATCGACCATTCATACCTGAGGGGTTGTGTTTATTATTTTCCCCGGAGGCTACATGTGTTATTTGTCAATGCCATGTTTTTGTCCATAATTACCCGAGGGGTTCTCCCAGTCCCTCACTCCTTGAGGCACATGCAATGGGGTGAGAAGGAATAGAGTAATGTCTGTCTTCATCAAAGAGCCGAAGGCTGACGCCTTTTGCTTCATTTTGGGGAGATGCCTCGTTAAAACCCTCATTAGAAAAAACCCTGTGGGAAAAATTCTAATGAGGGAAAAAGAGTGCATTGTATGCCCCGAAATAAAGCAAGAGGGGTTGACCCTCCGGCCTGTGATGAAGGATAATGTTGAGGCCAAGGGCATTCGTGATCTGCGGTAAGTAACCCTGATGGACTCAGGGCCACTTGTGAGCTGAGGGCGTGACCATTGCTGAAGGACGTAGGTGACTATTCCGGTGCTGCCGGGGGAGTCCCCCATTCCTTCATATATCGAGGGTTGGGGTCCCGAGGGGTTCCCTGATCTTCCTGCTGGGGGCTAACCCTTGGTGAAGGGGTTTGAATGTGTTGTCCCGAGGGCTTGCTTGTTGTTTGTCTGGAGGGTGTCTGCTGAGGGCACCTCTGTGTCTCAAAAATAGTCGTTGAGATATGACCGTTGAATGTGGCCATTGCAGGTGGGGTCCACATGGCGTATCCTGGTTGGCTGGCTTCGGGCGGCCGTCACCGGTTGGCTGAGGCAGCGGTTTGTAATGATGTCTAATTAACCGTGGGCCCAGGTCTCGGCCCAAGCCCAAAATGGGGAGGCTATAAATACCCCTGCCCTGAGACCATACCCCTTGTGCGATTTTGTTGTAGCGAAGCTCTGGCAAAAAATTTCTAGAGAGAGAAAGTACTCAGGTCGATCAAAATCTAACTCCCGAGGTGAGTTCTTCTTCCGTTCTTGAGTTTTTTTGCATACTTTGCTATTTCGGCCTTAGATTTTGTGTTAGAGCCCAATAGGAAGCCCTCTGTCTTTGAACCCTTCTTCTTCCGGTACACCAAGAATGTCATCGCAAAGTGACTCTCAAGATATCTCGATGGAGGCTGAGATGGCATCTGAAAGCTACTCCGATGTGGAGTCCTCTAGTGACCAGCTCTCGGTGCACGATGATGCTGCCATGACCGAGGAGGTCCAAAATAACCTCCGGACTGAAGCTGAGGCTGAAGAGATAGAGCAAGTAGCTGAGAACGATGAGCTTGCCCTCGTTGTCCAAGTGGCTGAGGAGGAGGAGGAGGAAAAGGAAAGGATGAAGGTTACCATCGTCGTTCTACCCCCTCGCACTGATGATGAAGTCGGGAGCTCTCGGCCCCTTAACCCGGAACCTCTCAAGGTGGCTCTGGGAAAAAAGAAGAAGAAATCGAGGGTTGCACCGAAGAAGAAGCAAGCTGCGGTAGACGCTGGGCAGCCAGTGGGCATCCCCGAGGGGTATTCTTATTTGGACACTGCTGCCCTCGAGGTGCAGACAAAGACCGGGGAGGCGGAGTATCTCAAGACCCAGCTTCTGGCCAGGTGATAGAGCCGGTGCCTGACGATGTGTTGTTGCACGCTCCCGAGGGCTGCTTTGTAGTCCATGTTCTCTCGGTGGAGTTGGGCCTCAGGTTCCCACTCCACCCCTTCGTTTGGGAATACCTGAGGTTCGTCAAGTTGGCCCCTTGCCAGTTGACGTCGAATAGACATTCCTACTTGGCAGGTTTCCTTGCCTTGTGTCGTTCCCGGGGGTGGTGCCCTCACAAGACCAGTTCTTTCTTTCTTTTAATCTGTGTCGGGGAGGTCACTCGCACGCCGGAGGCTTCGCAAACCTTCAGCAAGTACCTGAGTAGAGGCTCTTCTTTGAGGTTCCTTCATCTCACAAAGGATGGAAGGACATATTCTGCTACATCTGCATGGCGGATAACCCTTTCTCGGCTGCCCTCAGGAACAATTTCCGAAGGCATCCAAAAGTTGGGAATGCAGCCCTCGCGAAGAACGGGAGCAAACTAATTGCAAAGCCGGAGGAATCTGACAGGGTGGTGACGATCAAAGATGCCACCCTCTCGGATGAACTACATCTCCTTGGCTTCCAGCGATTTCGCCTATCGGGGGAGAAAGATGAGAGATATTCCCTAATCGATCGGGTCTACCAAAGCACCGGAGGTTGTTGCTGAAGGATCTTTTTATTTTACACTTCGGCCTTTAGTTTTTATTCCTTTGTAGCCTAATACCTGTATTTTTTCCTTTCCTCCACATGTGAAGAAATGGACGCCAAAACCTACGCTAAGTTGAAGAAACAGATGGCCAAGGAGGGCAAGAAAAAGGAGGCCCCCAGTCAATAGAGGCCTGTGGGTGACTTCTTTCAGAAGGGGGTCCCCGAGGGCCTAGACCCCTCGAAGAAAACTGCTGCCGGTGCCAGTGTCGGTGCTGAGGTCGGGGGCTCCCAGGCCGCTGCTGCCAAGCGGAAGGCGGCGGGCAAAGGTGTTGTGCCCGCCGAGAAGAAACAAAAGAAGCGTCCCCCGAGAAGAAAGATGCCTCCATTGTCATTCTCGAGGAACATTCATCCTCCGAGCCCTCGGGTAAGGCCGCTGAGATGCCTTGGCCTCAAGAAAATGTGCAGTTCTCCATCACCAAGGGGACTGCCATTATGCATGGTACTCTGGACTCGAGGGAGTTTCTACGGGGTGCCACCCCTTCGACAGATAAGTCAGTGCTCTCTCGGCAGAAGGATGACGCCCTCAGTTCCAAGGTCCTCCAAGCCTCAGTCACTGTAAGATCCTCTTTTCTTCTTCCCTTTAGTCAATTCAATATATTGTGCGTAGTACCTCAACTTTGTTGTTTGTCGGTTCCCTTTGCAGGCATGCCTCAGGCTCGGTGAGCTCATCCAGAGGATGGAGCAATCACATACCCAGAAGTTGAAGGCTGATGAAGCCCTGGTCGAGGCCCGGAGGCAGCTTCAAGAGGCTCAGGAAGCCTTCCGGGTGGAGAGGGAAGCCTTCGGCAAAATCCTCGAAAATTCCAAAACGGTCGCCAAGGTTAAGGGCAAAGCTGAGGCTGAGAGGGCCGTAGCCGAAGCCGCCCAAAAACTTGCTGAGGAAGCCGAGGCTGCCAAGAACAAGGCGGTCATGCAGGCCAAGAAGGATGTCGTCGCCGCTTTTCTCACCGAGGGCTAGAAGTCTGAGGAGCAGAGGCAGTGGGTGGCCTCGGTGGTGGAGACCTCAGTGGACGAATGGGTGGCAGGGCCCGGGGGCGATGTGGTTAGCTCGAAGGGGCAAAACGTTTTACGATGGTGGTGAGTTCTTCCCCCAGGCCATGATATACTGAAGGCTCGCCCGACACTTTGGTATTGAGCCTAAAGATTTTAAGCAGGATGCCTACGGTCTTCTCCCTCTTCAGCCAGACACTCGAATCCCCCTCCCTCCTGATGCAGAGAGGCTTGACTTGGAGGAATCCGAGTTGATGCGGGAGGCCGATGATGAAGAAGAAGAGACCGGGGATGATGCCACCTCGAAGCC